CGGTCACACCTGTCGTTTGCTCCTTGTCATGATCGGACAAGCGGAAAAATCCGTTGGCAATTCAGTATGAAAACAATGACCTAATAATTAGTATGAAAAACGTCAGTAACATTCGACTTAACGATAGAATGTATTTGCTAACAAGGTCATTGTATCGACCATAGAACTTGCAAAATGTGTACTTTAAACGGAACTGTTGATATCCTTGTATCATCAACTTATTTTTCAACAGCTTGCCTTGTTTTAGAAATTATTTTTATATAGAGCAAACTAATGTGTATCGAATCAACTGGGAGATATATACTCCGTTTGCATGTGATAATGAATGATATATTAATACATAAATAAAGGAAGTCGACCATAGAAAAGTTAAAGTTATCAAGTTTATCTAAAACTTTTGTTGTTAGATCGTCATTAATGTCTTTTTCTAGAAACAGATCAAATTGAATATGAATCAGATGTGTCTGACTCTGTTGCGTCTTTTATTTCGAGTTCAAAGGGATGTATAGAGGCAACGTTGAATGAAAATGAATATTGTCAATTGATAAAACGCTGTCGATGTATCTAAATATCGAATTGAAGGCCAGGTACGATCCTTCTTTTATGTATAAGTTTTTGGATAAATTCTGCTTTATATGAATACAAAAATAGGTCTTCTAATAACGGGTCGCAATTGGTACCCATGGAAACTGTTGGAAGACTTGATCTCTAAAACCTATATAGATATCGTAAATCAGAAATTAAAACCAAAGGCAATAGAAAAACAATTACTAGTTATTTTTTCCATTAAGAAAAAGTTTTATAGAATTCAGTAGAAAGAAATAAAATACGAGCTTGGTAAAGATGTTGCATAACGGAGGTGATTAATCATGCAGGGAAAGAATTTACCTGGCTTAGTCGTTAAAAAGTTTTGAAACATATTTCTTTCCAAAGCATATAAGATTACAAAGGTTTAAAGGTTGGTCTACGTTCACTTTGGGTAGAACCGGGTTCCCTGTTTAATGAATCATTACATAGATATTCAAAGTAAACAATAGTTAAGTATCTTTTGTCATAAATACCATCAATTGATGGGGTCCTTCGGATGTGACCTTAAAAAACCGAGGCCCCGTGTCACGGCAGGCGTTGGCACGATAAAGATCCCTCACTGCTCAATGGCCCTGAGTGCCGAGTAAAGGTCCAAATTTGAAGCCCTTCACCGGTATATGGTGACATCTCTATATGAGTGAAAAATTCTCGAATGGGACGTAAAACAACATACAATCAATCAATCAAACATCAACTGATGCAATTTTCAAAGGCAGTTTTCTCAATATTTCAACGTAAATAAATCATATTTTAAAATTCAGATCTAATTTTTGTGAACAAAATATATTTCTTAAGACTTAAATACAGACTTTACTCTTTAATCATACAAATAAATAAAAATAATGGTTTAGGATTTGAGGGCGAGACATCACCTTGACAACGGGCTGGGTGTCACTGTACCATTTGGGCACATGTTAATTATTCCCCTATTACTTTCTTCAAAGGCCCTCCGACACCTTCAGACTCCGACACCTTCAGAAACTGGATACTAGTTCTGGTCTCCCGTTCGGAGAGTTATACTTTCCAAGTATCTCTACGAAGTCTCTTTTCTTTAGTTGGAACCCAATAAATGCGAGGGGTATTATTGAAAACTCTGGTTTTCTTAATTTCTTAACAAAGTCGATGCCTTTGTAATAAAGGTACCCGGTATTCATCCGGACCAATACATCTTACTGTAGTTATAGTTTGTTTCTACCAGTTCTTCCAAAAAAATGCATCTAAATATTATTGAAATATAATTAAAACTGCAGTATTCATGAGCATTCTTCTAGTTGAATTTTTATGCATTCATTTTATACAAGACAAATGGAAAATTCTTAGAAAATGATATACATTACGGTACTACCAGTGTGACGCAACTAAGACCGACATTTTTATCACACAGTGTAGTGGAAGCGTTATGAACAACTGATTATAAGGGATATGACATATGTATAAAGTCGCAGATAAACCGCCGATCCAAATATACTTGAAAATGACAACCTGAAAACAGTCATGAAAGGGAGAGCCCCGATCTTTTAAATTGCGCAAGAAGTTTATTTTTGTTAGCATTCCGTACAGGTATATGATAGGTGGGCTAAATATGAAGGTCATGGCCTCGTCTTTTTGTCAGAATGGATGAAGTATTTTAGACGTATATTCTAGAATCCGTTTTGAGTAAATGGAAAGTGATAAAAGAAGTATTTAGAAAGACTTAATGAAGCTGACAAGGCTTGTAACAATATCGCCCATTATTATAACGATATTTTTGAAGACTGCCTTTAACTGTTTAAATATATACGTTTGGAAATCCAACTTAAACTTGCTGTTCCCTTTCTCAGCATGAAATCCTTTAAAGTCACGTTCCAGTCTAGCTTTAATACTTTGAACATTTCAGTCAACGGAAGTGAATTTGATATTACACAAAAACTTTTATGAAAGTTCAAGGCCATTGACAGAAAAAGTATATAACTTGTGTTTGGCCAACAACTTCCAAATGGAGAAACAACTCCAATTAGCCTCCATTTTAGAGATACAAAACAGACTCAAGTAACAATTTTTCTGCCAGTGACCTTGAAAGTGCTGGGATGAACTTGGGTTAATGTCAGTAATTACTCTCAGGTCATATGCAATATTTGTGATAACTATGAGCCTCTAATTTCTCCATTACAAGATTTGGTTAGAACAGGAATCAAATATTTTTCCACATGTGTTCTGGACATAGATCAAGTGACCTTGGGTAAAGGTCATGACACACCTTCGGTTCATAAGCAATCTTTGTATGAGGTATGGAGTCCAATTGTTTCTCCATTTGGAAGTTGTTGGGGCCATAACGCTGATCTAACAACAATAGCTAACTGACTATACTGGAATGTACAGGGTAATTAAAACATGCTCTTTAACATGTCTAGCCTTTTTATGACATCAAATTACAGATTTAGATGTAATCTGACTGCATAACTTTTGTTTATAAGATTTTTTTTGAGAAAAAGTTATTAGTGAACGAGGTAAAAATTTCAGTCGAATGAGTAATGTGTTTATTTCTTCCTATCAAATAAATGAGTCAACCATTGTTTTCTATACGTTCTCAATAAATAGATAAATGAATATGATAGATATAATAACTCTCTATGAGAGAGAGAGAGAGAGAGGGGGGGTAGGGAAAATTCATAATTGCTCTAAAAATGCGACGCTTTAAGTCACTTATCGACCCTTACATTTAACAAACTTATTACAGACTGCATGGATAAAATAAAAAAAAAGAAACGCACTTGTTCCATTAATCAATCATTCCTCCATTATTTCTAAAGACCCATTTCCCTTTTATAAAATTTACGAGAACCTTTGGGAACAAGACAACCCCTAAAAATCTTTAAAACGTCTATATCTCAGATCCTGAAGTGACGTCATCACCGAAAAGTTACCCAACCAGGTTCAATTAATTATTTATCATACCTTAAATTTGTAAGAATGTTACCCAAGCCGTGCACATTTTTTTTTCCGAAGTGCGTTAGTATGGTCGATATTAACGGACTTTGAAAAGATTTTTTTTTCAAAGTGTGTTAACTTGGTCCCAATTTAACGTACTTTGAAAAAATTATTCATTATTTATTTATTTTTATTATTTATTTTTATTTATTAGCTCACCTGAGCCGAAGGCTCAGATGAGCTTTTCTGATCACATTTTGTCTGTAGTCCGTCTGTCTGTCTGTAAACTTTTCACATTTTCGACTTCTCCTCCAGAACCACAGGGCCAATGTCAATCAAACTTGCCACAAAGTATCCTTGGGTAGAGAGAATTCAAGTTTGTTCAAATGAAGGGCCACGCCTTCTTTCAAGGGGAGATAATTATGAATTCGTGAAAAATGAATGGCATCATTAAAAAAATCTTCTTCTCAAGAACCACTGTGCTTGAAAATATGAAACTTATGTGGAAGCATCCTCAGGTAGTGTAGATTCAAGTTTGTTCAAATCATGACCCCCGGGGGTCGGGTGGGGCCACAGTGGGCGATCAAAGTTTTACATAGGAATATATAGGAAAAATCTTTAAAAATCTTCTTCTCAAGAACAGCAAAGCCATGATTGGTCATATTTACATGGTAGCATCCTCAGTTGGTGTAGATTCAAGTTTGTTCAAATCATGACCCCCGGGAATAGGGTGGGGCCACAATGGGCGATCGAATTTTTACATTGGAATAAATCTTTAAGAAAAAAAACAACCTATTTTTTAAGAACAGCAAAGCCATGATTGGTCATATTTATATGGAAGCATTCTTAGATAGTGTAGATTCAAGTTTATTCAAATCATGACCCCCGGGGGTAGGGTGGGACCACAATGGGTAATCAAAGTTTTACATAGGAATACATAGGAAAAATCTTTAAAAATCTCAAGAACAGCAAAGCCATGATTGGTCATATTTAAATGGAAACATCTTCAGGTAATGTAGATTCAAATTTGTTCAATTCATGCCCCCCCCCCCCCCCCCCGAACCACTTTTATATATATTTAAACTTTTCAACCTTTCAAGACTGAACTGATCTCTGCTTTTTTTTAGCCATAGTGCTCAGGTGAGCGATGTGGCCCCTGGGCCTCTTGTTATTTTTATTATAATTATTATCATTTGCTAACATACATAAAGCTCAGTAATAAATTATCATATATTCTTAATTGTTCATTAAAAAATTCAAATAAACAGCAAGTAAATAAATTTGAGATTTTAAAAATAGTCTTATTCAAAAGAAAGCCAACTTTCGGCAAGCGGCAGAAAAAACAATATACCCGAACTTTCTTTAGAACGTGCGGGTATAGATTAAAAATAAAACCTCTTCCAATAAATAACTTGGAAATGGTTATCACATCCATCCTTACTTCGGCCTGTTGTACAACGTATTATATCCGACACATCAATGCACAACTTGACAATTGCTAAGGGGGAGATAAATCGGGAATCTACCCGGCCTCTGAATCTGAAACGTATTTCGCATCCCTAGTATACTGTATGAATTAATCAACATGTGGTTCATGTACCTATTAAGCTGGATTGCACTAATTATACAGATATGTGTAATAACTTTATCCGTGGGTAAGTAAGCCAGATTTTTAATCACGATAAATTCTGTGTACGTTCGAATTTCCTCGAAAAATTACGACCATTCCCATTATCAAGTACATGTGTAACTCATTTTGTCATAGCCCAAATGTCATTTTACGGCATATCACCTTTCATTAAATAAATTGGGATATCTTAGTAATGAAAAAATTATCCGCCAGCTTTCTGTTTCAAAAGAAAAATAAATTGGCTGCAGTGCAAATCAGATTTTGAGATAAGTCAATGCAGTGTAAGAGACCTCTCAAAGTGTCACCTGTTGTAGAGGGATATATAAGTATCTACAGAGTTGCAGTTATTGTCCAAGGAGACAATGGGGGATATTAACAGCTAATCTGTGGACGCAGGTGTAACAGGATCAACAGGGATTGATCTACATTTTTCAGGTCCAGCACAATACCTCAATAAAGGTATATAGCTTGATAAAGCTATATAGCTTTATCAAGGTATTACAAATACCTTGATCAAGGTATTTTATGTAATGAAAATACAAAAAAAAATCTTTAAAAATTAAATTTAAAAGTCAACTTATGAGTTGTGGTCATTGTGTTGACTCGTGCATGAAAAGTACTCAGGTATCAAAAAGACAGCATAAAGGAACGTCTCCTCACATGACATGCTTTTATACTGATTTCTTTGCATTTGAGTACTTCACATGCATGAGTGAATTTACTGACAACAACTCAGAACTCGACTTTCAGTATTTATTTTTTTTTGTATTTTCATTACATAAAATACCTTGATCAAGGTATTTGTAATACCTTGATAAAGCTATATAGCTTTATCAAGCTATATACCTTTATCAGGGTATTGTGCTGGACCTGTTTTTTTCTGTTTATCTGTAAACACATTGTAAACATGATAGAAGCTTTACTTAATTCTATTTTATAAATCTCTCATATATTAATTTCCTTATCTAGTCCATATTATCCAATTAAATTTTCCTTTAATTTTGCAGCGGCTGGGTTGTTTTACCTGGCAGAAATTGTAGAAGAATACACAGTACTTACAGCAAGAATTATAAAATATATGTTGATAGTAAGTAATTGTAGTGTAAGCTTATATCATGAGACATGTACTTAGTTCATGTATGTAAGAATTGTAAGTTATAATTAGATTGGGATATATTATATGGAGTTATCCATTGTGTGAAATTGGATTAAATCTGTATTGGGTGACAAGAAGCAGAGAGCCAGTATAGATTTCCATTTTACGTGCTAGATGACTCTGTTTTATTTCCCACACTGAGTGACTGACTGTGTAATGAATTTATCCTGCTGAAGATCCTTACAAGATTATTTTCAAAATTTTAGTGGATTACATACATGCATTTGATAAAATTTAATTCAAACATCACATACTTCATATAATTTTATTATAATAACATCAGAGTTTAATATATGATCCAAAATATTGAACAAACTACTTACCACTCTTTGGTTACAACAGTCACTTGTAGAACAGAATCTCACCCCGATGATTAATACACCCCCTACAAGGATTTTTAGAGCAGGGCTCTCACACCAATTTTTGGGACTGGGGCCAGAGCCATTCAAATTGGGAAAATTATTTTCATTTTGGGGAAAATTGGGAAAACCTGGTTCTTTACGAATATAGGTAGTGTGAACTAATTAATTAATACAGTCATACACAGAACTAGTTTTTTTCACTTTCACTTGTTGGCGATTAAGTGTCATCATTTAAGATTTTTTTTTTTTTGCTGTAGAAAATTGGGAAATTTACACTTTGCTTTGGGGAAAAAGGTACCTTTTTGGCGTTGGGAATGTGGCCGTTCAACGGCCCCAACTATAGAGAATCGAGAGCCCTGTAGAGACAGTATAATGAAATTTTCAGAGTGATTTGTTTTTATCCAAATAATAATTTACTCTGTCTGAAGAAGGATATCAGCTAGTATATGAATCTCTGCTCATAGCTCAAGATTAATTATGCAGTAACAGTTTAAAGTTGTAACCATGAAACCATTTTAGAACTTTTATTAGAGGATAGATTTGAACTAACACATCATTTACCAAACATGTTTTTTTTCCTCCAGGGCACCACTGTGATATTTATTGGTCTTTTGTTGTTTGAGGATTTGCCCCTGTACATGATCGTCGTAGGTTTGGTTGGTAACATCGCCTACTTCTTTGTTCTACAAACTTTCCCATACTTTGAACTCATGTCTCCATCATTTCTTATGTCCATTGGTGAGTTACTTAAACAATAAAATGTCTTCCTTTGTTTATATAATAGGAATAAATTGTTGGAAATTGCAGGAAATACTTAACCAGTATTATTGATTTATATAAACTTTTCTTGGCAATGTGTGTACCCATTTCAAAAGAAAAAAAGAAAGAAATACATTTTATTGTTTATATTTATTGCTGTGTAAATTATTCATTATATATGATAAAACTGGCATTATGTAAAATATTGTATTATGGATGCATACTAAATGCACTGATGGAAGAACCATCAAGGTTGACCTTTTACACTTTTTTATCTTTCATAAAGATGGCTTAAGAATGACGGACCTAATTCGAAATTTCACGCCACTGCCCAGAAAACCGTGCATATGCCTTGAATCAAATTGACTTTATTATGTATTGCAAAAGATAAAAAACATACATTTTTAATTATTATAAAGATATTCAAACATTTCCTCTCAAATCAAAAATATTGTAAATATTTCGATTTATATTCATAAATAAATGATTTATTTGGCCAAGGTATTTTCATTGAAAATTTCCCCCAAAATGTGCCCTACATTTGAGTTTGACATGCCCCCCTGAAAAATCTAAGCCGATGACCCATTTATTTTTTGGCATAATTTGCTGGTAGATTGTCTTGTTAACATTGTCCTTTAATATGAATAAAAAATCTATTGCAGAATTTTTTTTCAATGATCACTCTTATACCTTACACTGGAAGTTCCCCATTACTTCCTATAGTAATTATCGATTTCCATCGCCAACTTTTGAAACTGCTCCCCATTAAAAATCTACATCGATGACCATATGATTTTTTTTTTATTGATTTTAGCTCACCAAAAGTCACATTACTTCATATTAAAATTTGAATAAAAAATCTATTGCAGAAATGAATTAGGTCTGTCATCGTTAAAAGAAAACAAATCTAATTAGTTTAGAATTTGATTGTACGTGTATATACATGTATTGACTGGTCCAGAGCAATCAGTTTTATAAGAAATACATTATACATGTTGGCTGTAAGTGTGTTGTACTGTCATACTCTTAATGCATGTTATTTGTGATTTTTTTTTTTCAGCCTTGGTGGTTGTCAATCATTATTTTGCATTTTCATACTTCTCCACGGTGTGGCATCCTTTCTCAGATGTAAGTCCTAATAAACAAGGGGTCATCAAAAAGTTTGTGGACTGATACGATAAAATAAATACAATATACTCCATGCTAACCAAATTTGTAAGTATAAAAAGTGTTGAAAATATTAGCTTGATACGTTGATAACTTGCCAAAATATCATTAAATACAAAAGACGCCCAGACCCAGTGCTGTTGTCGTTGAGTTTTATGATGTTTGCCAACGTCATCCTCATTGTCTGCTTCCTCTCTTTCAATACACTTTTCTTAATGAAATTCCTTGGATTTAATGTAAAGACTGAACCCGTCTTGTTTATATGACTTTACAATGTAATGAACAACTGATTTCAATGCATGATATTGTTATTAAATAGATCTATACATAGGGAAAGATCCTAACTTAATTATGACAGCATTATTTGCTTGTCTGAGTTCAAAGTTTACAGCACATGAGCAACGTCACTTTCTGATGTGACTAACATTGGACACCAGAGGCCCATCTTCAAAAGAACTTAAGTTTAAGTTTAAACATTTTACATGGTTCTAAAATCTCGTCAACTTAATAATTTTGTGAGATTTTACTTATATAAAATTACCTGACTGATTTCTTATTATTAATGATAAAATTACAAATTAATCAACTCGAAGAATAAAATAAATTGCAAAAGTACACTTTGGTCTAAGTCATAAGTTCTTTAGTAAAATATGCCGCTAGACTACAAAGTCTACAAATTGACATTAAGTGTGTGTCTCTGAATCTTTAAAACAGGTACTCTGGATACATTTTATTTCTCTGTTGCCTATTTAAACATTCCCTAGGTCCATGCCAGTTTTTCCAGTGTTAAACTGTATAGAATGTGGAAGAAAGACCCCCCCCCCCCCCATCCCCACCCCCTTTGATGTCATATTAGCCCTTTATTGTATAAGCATTCCATATAAAATTTACAATAAGATTTCATAGAACTTACAGAATGAGGTAAAAATTTGCAAATTCTTTCATACCACCGGTAAATTAACACGATTGATTATTGGATGACAAATGCTCAAATCAAAAGGGTTTTTTTCTGTTAGACTTGGGTAAAAAATACATTGTTTTTTTTTTTTGAGGTTGTGCAGCATCTTTATAACATTAATTGCTTACAAAAACATTAACATTTTTTTTAAAAAATAAAAATTTTGATTTATAGTTTATTCATTTGATAGAAAAGATGATTTTAACTAAATGCATTGTGTAAAAATTCATTGATATACCTCGGGCATATTTAATTATGTAGCACTAGTTCCATGAACTTTTTGATAACCCCTCATATAATATTTTGAATAATCTGGTTATGACTGTCAGTTGATGTGTTTTAAGTCACCTATCACAAAATATTTTTTAAATGTTCATTGAAAACTGATAAATGAGGTGCTGTTTAATTCTATTTTGTGTCAATGTTTGTCTTTTAGTTTATATTAATTAAATGTACTCTGACCCCTTTCAGGTGCTAGCGTATTTCACCATTTGCCTATGGCTTGTACCGTTTGCCTTCTTTATTTCTCTCTCTGCCAATGAGAATGTGTTACCAATGACAACGGGGACCCGAGTGAGTACATCAGAAGAAAGTGACGTGGTCAGTAATTATTTCAAGAGGAAGGGGAAGAAATACGGACTGTTGTCGTTCTTTAAGTACGCACAGGAGGGAATTCTACCCCAGAGGACAAGGAAACAGTATTGAACGTGGCTTGTCCAGGACAGAATTTTCAGAACTTTTAAATTTGTGTTTTAATAGACAACAGTTGTGTATAACACAATTAATGGGAAAAGCTTAAGCTTGCTTGCGAGTATGCAATCACAACACCTGTGCTTAAGCGATCAAAACTAAGTTAGTCTGAAACACCACATGTACAGTAAAAACTTGTCTAATCTGGATGTTGTGTATTCCTATAAATTGCCTGTGAAAACTTTTAGTCCCTTGCAGTAGATTCAATTGTTTAAATATTAAAAATGTTGTCTAATCCGGATTGTTGCTGCAAATTTCTTTGAACCAGTTGTGTCCTGCTTAGACAGGTTTACTGTATTATGAAATCTTTTTTTTTTTAATTTGCTTAAGTTTTACATGCATTAAGCGTATTCAAAGTCTATGGGGAGCATGCATTAGAATTTCGTAAAATGAATTAACAACCAGGCATTCTTCCACTTAAAATTATATCTGAAATACTGTGAAATTTTATTTTATGGGGTTTTGTTTCCCGTCAACGAATATTAAAATATGTTGTCTTTAATAAAATGTCGTTCGAGCCAGTTGGCCCATTGATCAGATGAGCCAGGTGGCCTTTTGAACCTTTGACCTTGGTGATGTAGTATGCTTGGCTGGATGCATGTCAATGTATGCCTCAGTAAATTATGTTGTGCATGATAATGTGTTTTGTCTATTTTTATAGATTCCGAAATGCAATAAAAATTATTGAATTAAGTTTCTATATGGTCTTATGAATTGGTGAGAGAAATGAATATTATAGAATTGCTGCATTTTCCATGCATTTAATTCAGATGGGGCTTAGTCACTTTTACCTGGGAAATGAACCTGCACCAGAAACATCAGCTAGGGATGCCAACATAGCCTTTCTGACTTTGTCAAAATAAATTCGCAAAATATTCAAATTCCACCCAGTAACCACAAGTAATTGACTAGAAAAGCAAAAATTAAATTGTATGCAATTGTTGAAGGTTACAAATAAAAATTCAGTAAAACTCTTCCTAGTTTGAATCATTTATCCCGTTCGACAGAATTTAAAAACACACCACTAGAATTTTTATGCCCCCCACCTGGAAATGGGCAGGGCATATAGTGTTACCACTTTCCATCGGTCATTGTCATTCTGTCATAGTTATTTAATTTTTTTTTTTTTTTTTTTTTGCCTTGCTTGTAGATACTGTAGATCACTTTATTTTCACGAAACCTTATTTAAAGATTGTTATTTGGAATTTATAAGCGAGACAAAATTTTCACGAATGTCAGTCATTGCTCTATATAATCTCTCGTAGTACTAATATACGCAAGATTGAAATTTTCACGAACAGACAGTCTCGCGTAATTACACGAAAGTAAAGTTCTTGCAAACAAAAAGTGATTTACAGTAGTGAGCTTCTCTGATCAAAATTTTTCTATTGTCTGTCCTTGTCGTCAAACTTTTTTACAATTTATCTTCTTCAGAACCAATGGGCCGATTTCTATCAAACTTGGCACAGAGTATGCTTGGGTAAAGGGGATTCAAATTTGTTCAAATGAAGGGCCACACCCTCTTCCAAGGGGAGATAATGAAGAAATAGTAAAAAATTGGGTGGGGGTCATTTAAAAATCTCAAGAACCAATGGGCCAGAAAAGATGAAACTTATATGAAAGCCTCCTGATATAGTGTAGATTCAAGTTTGTTCAAATGACCCGAAGGGTAGGGTGGGGCCAAAATGGGCAATCAAAGTTTTACATAGGAATACATAGGAAAAATCTCCTAAAAAATAGGAAAGTCATGATTGGTCCCCGAGGGTAGGACAAGGCCACAATAGAAGATCAAACATATAGGAAAAATTCTTGCCAATTACACATAGTGAAATTAAAAACAATGTATTCAACTTTTACAGTAATTTTCCTTAGACTTTGAAAATTTCCAAATTTGTAATTTTTCACCATTTTCTTTTATGCTTGTAGATAGTGAGCCAATAATTGGTATGTGACTTTATACTGATGACTCACAGACCAAGTTCAAGTTTTAATTTGATTGGCCCTCATTAATGAAATTCAATACCTTTAGCGTTTTTTTGAAAATTTCTTTTTATTCAATGTTTTTTGAAACTTTTTAACATGTTCATTGATGAAAATGATCATGATCTTTACGCAGCTAAAGGATGTTGTAATATTGACAGAAAATTTAAGAAAACAAGAGGAATAAAATTGTTTTCCATCTCGTTTCCACCCTTAAATAATTTCATATACTTGCATTTTCAAATATTTAAAAATTGCTCATCTGACAGTATAAGCATTTGTGTGATCATGTCACATCTACACATCTGGTCTTTATTAACCCTTATCATCAACCCTCTTGCCTAATTCACCCTAATCAAGTGGCCATACAGAGGGCACCTGCCTTGATTTCCAGAGGCTTGGTTTGGTTTATAATCATGTATTTGTCCCCAACCAAATTGTTCTCTCTCTCTCTCTCAGATTGCTACTTCCATTATTATTGCACACTACATTAGGTATAATTAGGTTTATAAAAATAATAAATGAACTTTGAAGACATTTACATAAACATGGTCTTAGAATGGCAATATTGATGAAGATTGGCACAAGTACATGTACACTGTATGTTAAACATGACAAGGAAAAGTTTGTTTCATAATTTAATATCACATAATTGTTTTTACATATATACATGCAGTTTCTACACAGAATATGAAATAAAATAACTATGAACAAAAACAAACATGACATGATTCTTGAGGTTAAATGTTGAAGCACAATATCCTAACAATCTGAATCAAAGTTGGACCGAATGCCATTAACTAACAAAGAATTCAATAAAATCTGATAGCTGAATTTTCATAATCTTAACTTGCATTATTAAAGTATTGTATACGATTGGTTACAAAATCACAACCAATCAGAGTTTAAGTTTGTTACTGGCATCCATTTTTTTTTCTATGATGTCTTGACGAAAGCTCGTTGAGCTAGAGTGATGAATGCACTTGATTGTTACTCCACTCCGGGAGCAATGAGAAGTCAATCCCCACTGTGCTGGGGAGGGACCTGATTGGGGTGGCACCCCCACACTGGCCCCCTGTCACAGTCTACTTTCACTCCACACATTCACACACACATTTAGTTTGTTCCATATTTCAGTTCTTTTCTTCCTTCTTTTCTTGGTCGTCTGTTGATTCAGATGAACTACTGCTGGAAGATGAGCTGCCCTCTCTATCAGCTGACATCTGTAGGTCAAACACGTTTTATTACAAGTCTTAAGTTGCTTCATTGCTTTAAGATTAAATATTGAATTTGAAGAATTTGCCAGGTTTTTTCCTTAAATCTTTATCTTTAACATCAATTATTTTATTTTGCAACCTTATCTTTATGACTTGGAAACTTTTTTTTTCTCACTCTGTATCTTTAACAATTTGGAAACTTCAGTTTTGCCATTACTTAGAACACCCACCTTTTTGTAGGCCATCTCAAACAGTTTGAGAGAGGCCTGTTGCATGCTGGATGTGGCTTGCTTTAATTCCTCGATTTCTACTTGGTCTTTCTTAGCGATTAAATCCTTTACCCCTGTAATCTGTTCCTTCAGTTTATTGGCCTATCAAAAAATATGAGCAAAAAATTAAAATTTCCTCTAACACCAGAAAAGCATAAAAAATAGTATTTGTTATTTGACATTGTTTAAGGAATATAGTGTTTGTAAATTGACTATTTACAAGAACAGTCAGCCTTGAGATACTTGTATGACCTGTTTTAAACATTTGACGGTGTTCTTCAGATTTGATGTAAGAAATGGCGGTGATTTGAGAATTTACAAGTACAGGGGACAGACTTCAGTTGTGAAGTGCACATGCATGAGATTTGATGTGACGTTTAGTCATATTTTTACTTACGTCCTCCTCGGGTAGCTGACTCTTGAATTCCTCCAACTTGGCTTCTGTGTCGTGTATGATGGCATCAGCCTGGTTCACAGCCTCCACTCTCTCCTGTTAACAAAACAATACCAAAATGTTTATTGTCACTCGTTTCAATATTTATACATTTGTGGAGAAAATTCTCAGTACAATTTATACTGTTTATTATAAAATATATATTTTAGTATAAATAATTCATGGAAACAGTCTTGTTTAATACATAGATTCATTTTGAAAAAGAGCCACTTGCCTTTCTGACGTGATCCTCAGCAGCATATTTCTCCGCATTCTTCACCATGTTCTCAATCTCCTCCTTACTTAATCCGCCCGAACTCTGGATCACAACTACAAAATAGAATATCACAGAACACGTATTTATTAATATTAGGAACCGTGTAGGTGACAAAATTTCACATATATATTTCATCGAAGATAAGTTCTACATTTTAATGCCATATATTTATTGGTAAATACCTATGTTAGAGGTGTATACAAAGCAATCGATGCTTTAACTTACTCTGCTGTTCCTTTCCTGTTCCTTTGTCCCGAGCCGATACATTTACAATGCCATTAGCATCAATGTCAAAGGTCACTTCTACCTGGGGCACACCTCGTGGTGCTGGGGGAATCCCAACCTAAAACATAACATCCAGAACTGAAACCTTGTAATCTCATAAACCTTCAACATTCAAAATGTCAGGGTCAAGAAGTTCAAGCATGAGAACTTAACACTTAAATGGCATGTTACTCAAGTACACAAATATCTGCATTTTTTTAAGTACATGCAACATCTACAATTCAGGTTATATCAAAGAAATAAATAAAGGAACACAATCTCTATAATAATTTCTCCATTAAATGACTGCAATTGTTATCTACCTACCAACATGAACTGTCCCAGAAGTTTGTTGTCGGCAGCCATTTCTCTTTCTCCCTGACAGACTTTGATCTCCACACTTGTCTGTCCGTCAGCTGCTGTGGAGAAGACCTAAAAATAGCAACATTTATATCAGTAAAAGAGTAACGTCACAACCAAACAACAAATATTTTCCAATGACCTTGACTTTTCTGAAGACCTGGGGTTTTACAAAAGAACTTATGACTAAGATCAAAAACTTAGGTTGACTGTAAAATCATGTCAAATCAAAGATTCTGTTAAAAATCCGTTGCACAAAAATATTTTTTTAAATAATTCTTAAAAAGATTAAAACCATTTTCAAATTATTGTATAAAAGAATTTATTTGCAAAATTAAATTTTGATCTTAACTGCAAGTTCTTTTGTGCAAATTTGGACTTTGAATAGAATTTTACGTCACACAGAACATATAGCTGCCAAGAATGTTTTACCTGGGATTTCTTTGTTGGAATAGTTGTGTTTCTGTCAATCAGTTTTGTGAACACGCCTCCCAGGGTCTCAATACCCAGTGAGAGTGGAGTTACATCCAGCAACAGAACATCTGTCACATCCCCTGCCAACACACCTCCCTGTTAAAATAGACATCACATGATCAGGATTACCAGGGTATTAATGGACATTTACACACAGACATCAATGCTTGAAATTATACAGACTTTTACATATCACCGATATACAAGCATCGCATGATCAAAATTAAAGATATTTTAAGACTGACCATTATTAGAGACCTTCTTTATTTTAAATTAGAGAGAAACTATATTAATATCCTGGAGGCCGAGGAAATTAATAGAGGGAAAGAAGAACGATGCTGTTTATTAATTTTTCAGTAAGATTTGAGTTTTCTCTTACCTGAATGGCTGCTCCCATAGCAACAGCCTCATCTGGGTTCACAGATTTTCCTGGAGTTCTGCCAAATACCTCCTGTACTAAGGATTGTACCTGAGGAAGAAAAAATAAGACAGGTGTGAAAATCCAATTCATGAAATTATCAATAAATGTAATGAAAAAAAGAAGCAAAATGTGATGATCACTTAAAAACTGCAAAATGGCAACTTGAATTTTAATTGCACCAATAAATCACTTATGTAAAGGTGCAAAAATGCATGAAGTCTGCAGTTTGACTGTGCCACTGCCTTGCCATAAAACCATTAATTGCATACAACTTTTACAAAAATTGCATTTTTTCTCCAGTTTTCTTTCATCAGTACTGCTGCATATAAATGGGTTGCATGCAGTGATCAACATGTAATAGATACAAGATGATCACTTTGTTTTTCAATATTGGGAGATAATACAGAATACAGAGATGATGACCCTTAAATTCTTCTTCATATTTACCCTGGGCATACGAGTCATTCCTCCAACCAGGATGACATCACCAATGTCTGACTTCTTGACCTCTGCGTCACTCAACGCTTTCTGACAAGGACCCACGGTCCTCTTGACTAGACTCTCAACAATTCCCTCAAACTTGGCTCGGGTCAGCTTCATGTTCATGTGTTTAGGTCCGCTGGCATCCATAGTCAGATACGGCAGATTTATATCAGTCTACAAAAGAAAGATTTATATCAGTCTACCAAGTAAACCATCAACTTACTGCTAGAAAATACATGTACTTCAGGAGCATTTATTAGTTACTATATGTGTTCAGGTTTAAACTTGCTCCTCTCATAAACAGAAAGGAATGACTGTATTTCTGGAGAATTTGCTAGTTACTGTTATGTGTTCAGGTTAAAACTTGCTCCTTCTCTCATTAACAGAAAGGGATGAATGTATTTCTGGAGCATTTACTAGTTACTGTTGGTGTTAAGATTAAAACTTGCCCCTCCATTTTGTAAACAGAAAGGACTGGTTGATAAGTTTTTATCTCATTTTCTGTCCCAAAGATTTGGCCCCAGAAACTATTGAGGAGCAGCTGGGAATTTGACTGACTTTGGATTAAAGGCACCTCAAGTTATACATTATGTAAACCTTAAGGGAAGTTAACCTCAGTTCTTGTTCTCTTACCTGCATGCTAGAGGAGAGTTCTATCTTGGCTTTCTCAGCTGCCTCTCTTAATCTCTGCATGGCCATGTTGTCCTTGGTTACATCAATACCTTGCTACAAAAAACAATAAAATACAACATATCAGTTCCCCGGCAAGTCTCATTTTCTTCTGCTCATCTAAGACTTTAACTTTCATTATTGGTATGGAAAAAAGACGACCAATTTGTACTACATGAAAATATGTTGTTTTTTTTAATTTGCGCATCAACATGATGGCAACACGTCATCCTGCATGAGAAATTAGTTCAAGAATTACTTACATCTCGTTTAAATTCATTGGCTAAGAAAGTGACCAAGGCATTGTCAAAATCCTCTCCACCAAGGAACGTGTCTCCATTGGTTGATTTTACTTCAAAAACTCCCCTCTGCATTTCCAGAATAGAGATATCAAAAGTTCCACCACCCAAGTCATACACAGCAATACTGAAACAATAAAAACAAAAGATATTATATGATATACTGATTACTCTGGATTCATCAGAATTCTTGGGGGCCAATTTTCGTGGATTGCTTAAATCTTACTTACATTTTATCGTCGCTTTTATCCATGCCGTATGCCAGGGCAGCAGCAGTGGGTTCATTAATAACTCGAAGAACGTTCAGCCCTGCAATCTGTCCTGCATCTTTTGTGGCCTGAATTTAAAAAAGAGAAAATCTTTCAATATATAGCCTTGTTTTCCCTCAACATGTTATATAATAAATGTACGTTTAATGACCAATTTTGAACAAATTTATAAATTAAAATTCATTTAGGTACAAGATATTGCATACCTGTCTCTGGGAGTCATTGAAATAAGCGGGGACAGTGATGACGGCATTCTTAACCTTCTGACCCAGGTAATTATCTACAATACAGTAAATAAGGTAATTATATACAATACAGGTAATTATCTAAAATACAGGTGAACATGGTAATTATATTCATATGTGCTAGTTTACAACACAGGTAAACAATGTGGACTGTGCACAAATCCCGAGACTGATTGTGGCATTTCCCTGGCATTTTAACAGATATAAAGAACTTGTATAGTGGCCATAGGTGAGATCTCAGTATCCATGGTGATGTTTGACATCAGTTTCCCATCAAGAGTAGCAAATAGTCATCACAGAACTCACAATGACCTCTATACTTAGTTATAATATAGTTTTCCATGCGCAAAAGTAAAATAAAGTATGTCGCAGCGTGTATAATACATTTATCAGGAAAATTGTTCATTCCGACATACATTTCTTCAGGGCCATAGCAATGATAACATACCATACCTAATAATACAAATGACATTGATTTAGGTCTCAGCATGTGCAAGATATGATTTGGCTTTTGCATTATAAAATGTGGCTGCAGTGATTTACTTTAGGGTTCCGACACATCTTCCACCCAACAGGCATAAACTGACAAGGTCTAATGATTCTAGGTTTCATGCTGGATAAGATACAACCTAAACAGCTTTATTTGCCAAAAAATTCACAGTGACCTACTTTTCCATTGATACACATTTTCCCTTCAAAGCATGAACAGACAAGGTTAACTGGTTCTTGATTCAGTGTGAAAAAATATTACATGGACGTGAAAAACTTAAAAACCAAAGACACGAACTGCCACACCATAATATGGCCTGTAACGGAGGCAACTTCTAATTATTATATACCTTAGCTAGCATTCAAGTTTTAAAGATATAAACCCCATTCAAATGGTGTGTCCTAAAATTTATGCAATCAACAAGTGGAAATATCTTTATTTACAACACGACACATTATTTCGTTCCTGGTCAGGAGTTTCAGAGTTAATTGGTGTAAGTACTCATCAGCCATGCTGTCAAGAGTAGCAAATAAAAGTCATCATCAACTCCTGTCTTCAACTAGCATATTCTGGGACCCAGAAGCATAAAACCTTGTCAGTTATATAAATCTGTCCACAATGGGTAGAGGTTACCAATCAAAGTAACTACCCACAACATGGACATTACAATAGTTATCTGCCCTCATCAAGATGATACCACAGTAACCAGGGACATATATAATGGAGGTCAATAGTAACCTGGGTAAGGTTTTTATCCTAAGACAGTCACATAAGTAACATACCAGCAGTTTCCTTCATTTTCATGAGAACAAAGGCTCCAATCTGACTGGGTGAGTACATCTTCCCATGAGCCTCCACCCAGGCATCACCATTAGTTGCCTTTACAATCTTGAATGATGCTGTCTTCCTATAAGACAATACCGGTATATAAATTAACATTCACAATCACATTGTCTAATCATTTTAAATCTCACCATCAGGGCTTTCAAAAAGATTAGAAAAAGGCAGTACTTTTACAAAAATGGCAGATACCTTGTAGAAGGGATTTTAATTAAATATGTAATTGAATTTTTCTCCATATCAAACATTTTGACTGGTACAATCATAATTTCAATCGGGCAAAAGTATTGAATACCAGCAGATTTTGATAGGCCTGTACCATATACTTACAATGCAGAACTTTGAAGTAACTAATTAATTGATAATTATTCAGAAAATTCTGCAATAAATGTTAAAATAATTGATATATTGGCTTACATGTCTTTCTGGACCTCTGGGTCTTCAAACCGTCTTCCAATGAGTCGTTTTGTGGCAGAGAATGTGTTTTCTGCGTTAGTGACAGCCTGACGTTTGGCCGGCATCCCCACAAGTCGCTCTCCATCTTTAGTGAAAGCTACCACGGATGGAGTGGTTCTGGATCCCTCTGAATTCTCTAAAACTTTGGGAGTCTTTCCTTCCATGACGGCTACACAGGAATTGGTTGTTCCCAGATCTATTCCGATGACCTGACCCTTGACCTTTCCAGAACTTTAATCAAAATAAAATTATTAGATTTTAGCTTCATGGACATATTCATCACTGAATAATTAACAACAGATCAATTATATATTTGTAGTCTTATTTGTCACTGCATAACAAACAACATTTAAATATGTATAGAAGCATCAAAACTTCGTCTTTTAAACACATTTTAACCACTTTTACAATGGACAAATCACAATTTATTTATTTTGTTTATAATGCACTTACTTGTTCCTTTTTTGAATTGCCTGATTTCCATTTTGGGAGAGCAAGGGTATCTACAAAAACAAATCAATTAGTTAATTTTCATACTGGACACCAAGTGAACAGAAAGCTATAGATAGAACGTTCTATCGTTAAAATGATTTTGTCCTACGGACCCGGTTTAACGATAGAATTCGTTCCGTGAATTGGCAATGTTGCAAAATAAACACGGGCGATAACTCAAACTCTGTGCATTTTCTATGAACAATCCAGAGAGTTCCGAATGTCAATATGGCATTTAATTTGAGCGAGGAAAAAACGTTGAGAAAATGAGTTGAATTTTCGTATTTATATGGATTATTTTTTAGGTTAAAAGGCATATAGATACAATTTCAAAAAGGTTTGTTATGATTAATATGGTAGTTATTATCAGTGCAACTCCTTTTGTATTCTTCAAAATTCTTTCGGAGTGGATCCACTCCCATTTGCTACATTGCAAGTATATGGGACGTATTTTAACTGTGGTGAGGGCTTGTCCCGAGACACAGTTAGATTATTCTAACTAAGAAATCTAGCTCTAGTCAATCAATCTCTGGATTGTTCATAGAAAATGCACAGAGTACGAGTTATCGCCATTGTTTATTTTACAACATTGCCAATACACGGAACGAATTCTATCGTTAAACTGGGTCCATAGGACAATATCATTTTAACGATAGAACGTTCTATCTATAGTCAATCAACATAAAAGAGATTAAAAACTAAGAAAATTCCTGAACTTAAAAGTTTTTTCTTTTGATGAAATACTATTTTGAATGAGATATTAGGACTTCTTACAAAATTCACATACAGGTTTTTATGTAATATATATTTCGATTGCATAATTATAGAAATCAGAGCATCCTTCAGCTGCATGATGCAATAAGACACAAAGCACCATATTTTTGCTTGGAATGTTCAAGAAAGAAAAAAAGAAAAGATCATTAGTTTGGTGAGTGGACAGCATGGGGGAAATGTAACGGTGAATGATGATCACACAGACACTCAAGCAACAATATGAAAGTAGAGCTAAATACACCATTTGAAGCAAAATGCTTTAATAATTTAACTGATATATCAAAGTATTGTGAAAAAGCATCATGTATATAAGCTTCATAGAAAACTACAATTTACTAAACAAAATATTAAGCACAACACAAATCTTGTGCCGACCATGTGAAGTCGTAATTACGCAACTGATAAAACGCCAAGGTTACCTGGTTTTTGAATGTCTTTGTATGCAGATTTCGCATTTTCTGTATTCTACATCCCTGCTCCAAACATCTGAAGGTAATTCTTGGTGATAGCAGCATGATTGCTTCTTTCTTTGCGTTCAACTTCTCTTTGCCCTTGCCAGCACGTGTGTGATGTAAGTTTGACAATGCTGTGTCTCACATACGCATGCGCTTCTGGAATCTCTTGCCGGTAAAGTTTAAAGAATACAAAATTATATTTTACGGACAAAAACGGGCAATTTGAAAGCTTTCGAATCGTAAAACAAAATGCATGAATTATCCCAACAAAGTGATATTCTCTTGTGACTGAAAATCCTGTAGTTGTTTACACTATCAAAATACAACGTAAATAAGAAAATCTCTCAAATTCTGGCAAATTCTTTTGCATGATGTAATGTACTGCATTAGAACGTTCTAGGCACTCAAAATCAAAGAACCGAAAGTACTGAATGAAGTTTAACAAATTCACCACTGTAACATCATATTAAATGCTTTCTTTGTTTGTTAATGCAGGAATTAACGGTTGCATTTATTGCAGAAAAAATACATAACTCGCGTAAGCGGTTTATATAATTTTTTTTCTGCAATGATTGTGCACAGCTCTTAATCCCGCATTAACCAACAAAGAAAGACATTTTATTGTTTATATTTATCTCTATATAATTACATTTGCTGTGATTTTCTACTGTGAAATTGATTTGAAAGTCATTTTTGTGTATACTCGCGTTAAAGTGACGTCACAATGAGACTACAGAGACGTAAATAAAAATTTAACGATATAGGGCAGCAAGAAAGTCAAATATTGAGTATATTATTGGTGCTTTTAAACTTGTAGAATGTAAATATAAGGAATGTTTTTCAGTTTAGTGTGAATTATTATAATAGCTCACACAAAACTTAAAAACATTCCTTAAATAAATAATCGAATAAAGTAGGTTCAAGTACATAAACTATTGTATTATTGATCTGTACGTCATGGAATGTTTCTTTGATGTCTATTGGAAACTAACTCCATGTTGATCACAATAATGTGACCTCCTTAGTTATCAGATAAAATAGAAATGTAGGTAAAAAAAAAATAACCACTGTCACTGTCTGATATAATGTATTCTCTGCCCACTAAAGAATCTTTTATACAGGATACCGCCTTGAAAAAACCGGACCAGGTTCTAACTAGATTAGCGTTATCGGATTGACGATTAAGGGAAATGGTTTTTATAAGAAATAAAAGAGATTAACACAATCAATGGATAGAAGTATTTATAATTTAAAAAAATAGATTTCAACTCTAAAACTCAACATACACACTCGTAGTTTCGCTAATTTTTTCAACGATAAATGCAGTTTGAGATTTGACATTATGGAAGGGAATTACCGCCAAAAGTCTATTTATCTTGCTTTTATTCTTATTCTGCCTTCTTCTTTATTCTTTGTTATTATTGTAACTATATGTCACTTTATTGTTTTCATATTCGTCTTTATTACATTTTACTTTGAACTTTTTTCATTCTTCATTTTGTCCTTACTTCTATGTTGCTTTATTCTTGTAAATACGTTCTTTTTTCTTTTAAATTGAAACAGTTTCTTTAATAAATAATTATGATAATTTCTATTACAAATGTAAATTCATTCACGCAAACCATGAAGCGCATTCAACGAAGACGAATGCAAGTAGTTTGAATTTAATGCGGCATTTTAACGCTAGGAGGCAGGGTGTTCGCTGCGAGTGTTGGTAAAATTAGGTAAGCAAACCAGGGCCGGGGTTATTCGTGATTTTTCAATTTTCTGCCTTAATACTTTATCAATCGAACCCAAATTTTCAAACGATGTATGTTATAGGTTCAGGCATGTACCTGGTGTCGTTCCCCCTGAAGGCTGGCTAGATGGTAAGACTTCGCCCGGAAGACTAGCTATATAGTGAGACTTCTCCAGGGGAAGTCTCACTATATATCCAGTCTTCCGGGGGAAAGTCTCACTATATAGTCAGTCTTCCCCCTTCATAGCGAAACTTCCCCCTTTAATTAAGTTTCCGATTATTTTTTTTTTATTGTAAAACAATGTTTTTATACTAACGTTTTCAGTATTTGGATAAAAGTTCTCCATCCTCTATGAATGAATAAATAAATCTATGAATAAATAATTAAAACATTTTAATAGTGCTTTTTATAATTAAAACATCTTAACCATGCAGGTAAACATAGATAAACTGCACGTTCCTACGGGTAATGACGTCTTTACTGTTAAACTAATTATGTCTTTTTTCTTTTGATAAGAATCGTCTCGGAACAATACAATAATCTGCTGTGCACGATATATATATATAAGACCATTACCTAAATATGCAACATATACATCGTCGATGTAAATAAAATCCAAACCAAACACGGAAGGGGGAGTCTCACTATGGTCGTTTAGGGCGGAAGGCTCACTATATAGTCATTGCCCCCCCCCCCCGAGAGGAAGTCTCACTATATAGCCAGACTTCCGGGGGAGGACTCACTATGGGGGAAGTCTTACTATATGACACCGATAGCAGTGGGGGGGGGGGGGAGGGGCTGGCCACCAAACATTTTTCTAGCCATAACTTTTTACTACTGAAAATGTTCAATGAAAGTCTGATTCCCCCCCCCCCCTCCCACTTTTTGTTGCAGTTTAGTCAAATAAGGGCAATGTACGTAGTGATGTATGAGTAAAATTTGGTATTGAGAGATTGAGAGAAGTTGGACCCCACCCCACCCCACCACCAATAAAATTTTCGAGTTTGAAGAATTTTCCTCTTTTTTTGCTTGTTTGTTTGTATGTTTGTTTTTTGCTTGTCAAGATTTTTAGGTAAGTTATTTTTTTTTCTTTGCCTGCCCCTTTCAAAATCAATGCTACGTCTCTAAGTTTTATCTGTATTCGCTATAAAAATTGCCAATATTTGTATTCATGTATTTATATTTTGAAAATCTCAATATTTTAGATTATTTTTGGCGATTTTTTATTTCCAATTTGCTGAGATGGGTAGGCAATATCAAGCCGACATTTTACGCATTTTTTGCCAAACGAGACATCGACAAAATAATTTTTTGAGTTATTCTAATGTCAAACACTGTGTGCTTACTAGAGATATTTACTTCTTTATTGAAAAGTGCTATTTCTATACAAAAAAAAAAAAAAAAAAAAAAAAAAAAAAAAAAAAAAAAAAACATATTTTCATAAAAACCGGGGGAAGTTTCTAGTATGCCCCGGTCTAGCCTGCTGCCGGCCACGCCTACCCATGACGTTCCGCACTACTTTGCAGAGCATTATGGGTTGACCGAAACCAGACTAGCCCCGGTCCCCAGAATCAGGCGAATGCGCATGAACAGTTATTATTCTGAAAGAAAGAAATGTCAGTTCAGTGGAAGAATATATAGGGGTCCTGAAAAACAACTCAATTTATAAGGGTAATTTGGGTATACTAGTAATTATCAAAATATTTAATATTTTTTATATCAATAAAACTGAAATTCAATCATCCAACAAAAAACTTGAATAGAGTTATATTTTTCAGGTGACAGAAAATACACAATTATTTTGGAGTTTTCCTCATTGGTCCGGTTTTAATGACCCAGATTTTCTTAAAACGTGTTATTTAAAGCAACAAAAACACATTTGAAAGAAGAAATGCTTATAAATAGTTAAAATATAATGTTTAACACCAGAATAATTTATAAATTTATTAACTTTTAGTAAAAAAACAAAAACAAAAAAAACCCCACTTAAAATGCCAGCTTGATACTGCCTTCCCATTTTACCAATTTGGAAATCAAATATCTTCGAGAAAATCTAAGATATTGAGCATTTCGGGGCAATTTAACGCGTATACAAATAAACCTATATCTAAGATAACTTGAAAGGGTTCGATTGATAAAGTATTAAGGCAGAAAATTGAAAAATCACGAATAACCCCGGCCCGGGTTTGCGTACCTAGTTTTACCAACACTCGCAGCGAACACCCTGCCTCCTAGCGTTATAATGCCGCATTAAATTCACACTACTTGTATTCGTCTTCGTTGAATGTGCTTCATGGTTTGCGTGAATGAATTTACATTTGTAATAGAAATTATCATAATTATCTTTAAAGAAACTGTATCAATATAAAAGAAAGAAGAACGAATTTACAAGAATAAAGCAACATAGAAGTAAGGACAAAATGAAGAATGAAAAAAGTTCAAAGTAAAATGTAATAAAGACGAATATGAAAACAATAAAGTGACATGTAGTAATAATAAAAACAAAGAATAAAGAAGAAGGCAGAATAAGAATAAAAGCAAGATAAATAGACTTTTGGCGGTAATTCCCTTCCATATGACATGAAAATAAAACTTAGTCTATTCCACTGGAAATCTTAATGTCGCTGAACACACACATTACAAATTTTCACTTGCATATAAACATTTCGAGTAAATTGCATAGAATATTGATGAAAAGTTTTTCCCTTGTATTAAAAGAAAACAAACCGCGGAGAAATGCATGGATCCTGTAATATATCAAATGTCACAGAAAATGAATTAGTCAGAAACGTTTTTCTTTAATCAGAATTGCACACAAACAATGCAGATCTGACAATGAATTGGATCTTACCTGTGACCACAGAAACTAATGTGACCGATTCTAGTTGCGAGTCAGATATTTTTAGACTTAAAAAATGAATAAGACAAAATTTGAGAATTAAAACTTCCAAATAAAATGGTTATTAAGGTCAAGATCTAGTAAATGACTTTTGACTAACTGTTTGGTGCTAGATCCATTATGACGTCATAATCAATTTCAACTTTTTTTTCCCGTCCTTTACGGCTCTAATATAATTATGTAGAAAATAAATTATTTTCATGGAATTCAATTTGAAATCATGTGAAAAGTAATTCCGATACCTATTTTCAATTTAATATTATTTTAAAGAAGAGGCCAAGAACATACAAATAACCGTTTTCAGAGAGACTGTAGGCAATCTGGATACATTTCCTTTGTCTGATATGGAAAAAACTCCTGTATTCATGACTGGTTTTCTGAATTTTTCATTGAAAATGACAGTTTAAAATATGATTTTTCGTCTTGTTTACCTACAAATTATGCCCCGAAACACCTTATTTGACCAAGCTAAAGTTATAAAGCATCATTAAAGGAATTTATTTTTCAAATTTGAGAAATC